GCAGTTGGAGGCAGTCGCCCTCCAATGACAACGGAGGGAGGAGGAGTAACGCTCACAACAACGAGCGAAGTGCCGGGTGGCTAAAGCACAGCAAGTTGGCAAAGTAGGGGCACAGGTGGTGTATCAGGCAGCCGTCTCAGTCAGTCGACCCGTGGCACCTGGGTCTGCCCCGTGACCTCCTGCCAGCGGGTGTTCGACACTTCACGTGGCCTCAAGGTGCACATGGCCTGGCACAAGCATCGTGGTGACGTCACCGCCACTTAGTGGAGAATGGTGGTGGTTGTTGTTGGTGGTGGTGGATAGTGGTGTTTATGGTGGTTGTGGTGGTTTTGGAATGGCATGAGAAGTCGTCACCTCCACATGATGATGAATCCGAGAAAGAGCAGGAAAAGGAGGCTGCACACGGCCACCAGCGCGATCTTCACCACCTCCATCATCTTCGGCGCTGAGTGGCAAACGCACAGCCCACGGGACCCATCCAGGAGAGGATGGAACGAGATGACAATAAAGAATGCGGACAACATGAGGCAAATAAAGGGAAGTGGAGCAGGCAAACTGAGGGGAAGGGCCACGACCAGCGCTGAGTGAGCAGTGCAATGTATTGTGTAATCACTTTCCCATAAATATATTTCATCTAGAAACTCCCTTGGGGATGGGGTATCTCGTTTACACAGTCATTCAATCCAGTGCCTCATGATGTAGCTTCCATCACCCAACAACAACACTGGGACTAGCGCATCTCGTGAAAGATAGGACATTCTGGAGTAGTGAGTTAGGGTCGCCACCTCTTCCATGCAGAGTGAGCCCGGACACGCATCTCAGTCGGCCTAGGCCTGTCAGCAACATTGTGCAGTCTCCTACGACGGAGTTGAACACAGTCACCAGCACCAGATCTTGGTACAAATCAATCCCTGCCATCTAAATACAGCAGAAGCCAATTACTGGACTGTACCGGGTCACACCCGGATGGGTGGCGACCTCAGTTGACAAGAGCAGGCTTTCACACCCCTATGACCCAAGGAGCTAATTCATCAGTGGGGGTGGCAAGGGGTGGAGGGGGGAGGGCACGTACAATTGGGGGTGTCGTCCGGCAGCTGGTTGCCCAGCCAGGGTAGTGTCACGTTCTTCTGCCAGGAGGAAGGTGCCCAGGCCCGTGGAGTAGTCCCACACCTCCTCAAACTATCCCCGCACACACGGAGAGGAGCGCCGCACACGCAGTGAGGATGCAGCGTTCACCTCGGCCACACACGCACGTAAATGTGCACGCCACGCGTACACATCGGCAGACAGTGGACTATATCGCTGGTGATGACCAAAGGTGGAATTGCTAACAAGTTAAACTATGTGGTGATGCTGTGTTGGCAGTGGTGCACAAGTTACAAAAACAATTAAACTCAACACATTCATTAATAACACCGTGGCCGTAAGGGAAGTACTGCGTATAAAGTAGGTGACGTCTTCTTGGTTCTTTCGGTAAAGTCACGTAGAAGGGAAGTAATAAAATATAAAAATAAAACATAATAAACAATTCTCACGACGTTTCGGCACAACGCAAGCAGCCGTCCTCAGGTGAAAACCAGGTCCGTCGAGGCGACAGAGTCTGAATGAAACAGCACACGAGCTTGGAGTATATATATAAGCTGGGCGCATTGACAAAGGAATTTGCATATCAAAAAGAATTTAGCATATTTATGGGAAATGCAGGAATGTGATTAGTACTGCATATGCATGTGCATTATGCAGGATTAACAGCATCAAAGGGAGCTGCAGTTACTGCTGCTGCAGTTTCTGCTGCTGCTGCAGTTGCTGCTGTTGCTGCAGTTGCTGCTGCTGCTGCACTTGCTGCTGCTGCTGCACTTGCTGCTGCTGCTGCACTTGCTGCTGCTGCTGCAGTTGCTGCCTTATCCATTTTAATATAACACTATGTATTATTCTACCCACCCTAATGTGTATCATACTGCTATATGTTTACTGTACAATTACGACACCATACATTACTCTGCACACTGCACCATGCCAGTGAGTGGAACGCGGTCTGAAAGTCACCGTAAACGTGAACACAATCAGTTAAGATCCGAAATGGTTTATTACGTCCTTCCAATGATTGCTAAGCCAGAATCCATCTTCTCGGTTGAAATTGTCTCTGTGTTTGTATATGTGGATCGCCTCATGAACGAATCTCTCATGATAGCCAGATGGCTTGCAGAGAACCTCTGTCTTGGAGAAGTCAATGTCATGTGAGCCCACTGAATTGTAACAGTGATCTGCCACGGCTGAGGTGTTTGTCCTACCGTGTTTCAGGTCTGCCTTATGTTCACGGATGCGGTCCGAGACATGTCGTTTGGTTTCCCCAATGTAACTGCTACCACATAGGCAACTTAGTTTGTAGACGCCAGGGTACTGTATGTCTGGAACCACATCTTTTACAGACGGGACCAGATCACGGATTTTATGTACTGTGTTGAATCGGACCTGGATCTTGTGTTTAATCAGGATTTTGGAGATCTTTTTTGTGACCCCAGCAATGTAGGGTAAGGTGATGGTCTTGAAAGGCTCCTCAACAGGATCCTTCTTGATGGTTGGAGTGATGGCTTTGCGGATTGTGTAGTCGGAGTAACCATTAGCCTTAAGAGCTTGGCGTACGTGTTTGAGTTCACTGGAAATGTGTTCATGGTCGGAGATGCATTGGGCTCTATGATATAGAGTCTTGATGAGGGAATTCTTCTGGGATGGATGGTGGTGGGAATCCGGTTTTAGATAAGCATCCGTGTGGGTGGCTTTCCTGTAGACAGAGTGGCTCATTGAACCATCAGGTCTCCTTTTGATTAGGACATCCAAAAAGGGTAGCTTGGATGTCCTAATCAAAAGGAGACCTGATGGTTCAATGAGCCACTCTGTCTACAGGAAAGCCACCCACACGGATGCTATCTAAACCGGATTCCCACCACCATCCATCCCAGAAGAATTCCCTCATCAAGACTCTATATCATAGAGCCCAATGCATCTCCGACCATGAACACATTTACAGTGAACTCAAACACGTACGCCAAGCTCTTAAGGCTAATGGTTACTCCGACTACACAATCCGCAAAGCCATCACTCCAACCATCAAGAAGGATCCTGTTGAGGAGCCTTTCAAGACCATCACCTTACCCTACATTGCTGGGGTCACAAAAAAGATCTCCAAAATCCTGATTAAACACAAGATCCAGGTCCGATTCAACACAGTACATAAAATCCGTGATCTGGTCCCGTCTGTAAAAGATGTGGTTCCAGACATACAGTACCCTGGCGTCTACAAACTAAGTTGCCTCTGTGGTAGCAGTTACATTGGGGAAACCAAACGACATGTCTCGGACCGCATCTGTGAACATAAGGCAGACCTGAAACACGGTAGGACAAACACCTCAGCCGTGGCAGATCACTGTTACAATTCAGTGGGCTCACATGACATTGACTTCTGCAAGACAGAGGTTCTCTGCAAGCCATCTGGCTATCATGAGAGATTCGTTCATGAGGCGATCCACATATACAAACACAGAGACAATTTCAACCGAGAAGATGGATTCTGGCTTAGCAATCATTGGAAGGACGTAATAAACCATTTCGGATCTTAACTGATTGTGTTCACGTTTACGGTGACTTTCAGACCGCGTTCCACTCACTGGCATGGTGCAGTGTGCAGAGTAATGTATGGTGTCGTAATTGTACAGTAAACATATAGCAGTATGATACACATTAGGGTGGGTAGAATAATACATAGTGTTATATTAAAATGGATAAGGCAGCAACTGCAGCAGCAGCAGCAAGTGCAGCAGCAGCAGCAAGTGCAGCAGCAGCAGCAAGTGCAGCAGCAGCAGCAACTGCAGCAGCAGCAGCAACTGCAGCAGCAGCAGAAACTGCAGCAGCAGTAACTGCAGCTCTCTTTGATGCTGTTAATCCTGCATAATGCACATGCATATGCAGTACTAATCACATTCCTGCATTTCCCATAAATATGCTAAATTCCTTTTGATATGCAAATTCCTTTGTCAATGCGCCCAGCTTATATATATACTCCAAGCTCGTGTGCTGTTTCATTCAGACTCTGTCGCCTCGACGGACCTGGTTTCACCTGAGGACGGCTGCTTGCGTTGTGGCCGAAACGTCGTGAGAATTGTTTTATTATGTTTTATTTTATTATTTTATTACTTCCCTTCTACGTGACTTTACCGAAAGAACCAAGAAGATGAATCCCTGCAGTCACGAAAGCTTTAAATCGAAAAGTAGGTGACGTTTTAGGCAATGGCCCTTCTGCATCGCACATAATGCGCTATGAGCACTTACTTAAAAGGAAGAGCACTCCACACCTTGTACACTGTATTAGATCACCCCCAGCCAACATGCGCAGATCCCTGCCCTCCCACATTTCACCCACTACCCCACCTCCTCTTACCAACCCACCACGTGTTTATTTTTGACAAAAGCTTAGCCAACCCAGAACAATCCCAGCAATGAGCTCTTTAACTCGAGCACGACTTATAGCGCCGGACCGCATGTTTATGGTTGGAATGAACTGCACATCAAAAATGTTGATAAAGTAAATAAAATAAATATGCAATTGGTGACGTTTCAGGAAATGGCCCTGATTAAGCGCATATGCCATGAAGAAGGGCCGTTGTTTTCTTTGAAGGCAGTGTTGCTGATGAAGAATGAGCAATGAGGCTGGCAACTCGGCGCCAGCCTCTGGTGCTGGCATATGGAGGGGAACCTTGTTGCCGCGGAGGTTGAGGATCTTAATATTCGTGTCCCGGTCGCCGTTCTCATCGAGATAGATTTCCTCCTCCAGGCCTGTCCCATCACACACGGCGACGTGTTACCACGTGCCCCTGTCGCGTCACATGGGGCGACGCGTCACAACGTGCCCTTGTCCTGTCACACGGAGCGACGCGTCACAACGTGCCCCTGTTCCATCACACGGGGCGATGTATCACCACGTGCCCTTGTCCTGTCACACGGAGCGACGCGTCATCACGTGCCCCTGTCCCGTCACACACCAGGAGATGAAATCGAACCGGCGACCTATGGGGTCTGAGTCTGGCGCACTGCTCACAGCCGCACCACCGCTGCGATAGCAGCAGCTGCCTTCACATCCCAGTGAATAACCAAATGCGCGAGACGTCTCTATACAAGCGATGAAACAGGTTTAACCATTTTCTTCACGCGGTTACCGGTAACACAACTACCCTTGTCTATACGCGGTGGCACTGCAGCATGCCGTGGGGTCGTGTGTTAGTGTAGGGATGTTGGAGAGAGGGCCGTTATGCATGGCAGCCTATGGGAAAGAAACACAGTGGGCGGGGCTACGTGTGTGCACAGGGAGATGCCCTCTGCGACGTCCGAGCCAGACACCCTGGGGGGGGGCTGGTTCGGCGTTACGATCCCCCGGGGCCCCACCCCTCAAGGAGGGTTGGGTATAAAAAGGGGTCGTTATATGGGCTTAGTCAGTTATGTTATAGTTAAGCTAAGAAGTCGGAAGACGTCGTAGCTAGAGCCCTGGACTCCCCCTGATCGCCGCCCTTATCAGGGCCCCACGGGATCAGGCTCGAGCCAGTGGCGTGGTCCCGTGAACCAGAGCCAGTGCTCTGGGACTCCGGGTACCGAGCCCGATTACCAGTGTCGGGCCAGACAGCCTCCCCTAGCTCTTAGTGGAGGACTCAGGGGATAGGCTATGGATAGCTAGGGGTATTCCCTGAGTTATACGGGTGAGGGGGCCGCTACCCCCTCTAGGGCTGTCCTGTACTGGCAACTTGTTAAATAAATATACGTGTGCCTCAACTCCGTTGTCAAGCGTCCTCGACGGGTACTTCATCTGGCGTCAGAAGTGGTAAAAATGGAAACGCGCCATACAGCTCGGACCAGGGTACCACAAGAGGAGGACGCCGCGGAGATCGCCGAGCCCGAGACAGAGCAACAAGATGGGGTGCAGCCGGAGCCTGGCGCCTTCTCACCGGGACGTCAGCATGGAGAGGGGCCGCAGCCAGATGCACTACGACTGGCTCACGAACGGCTGGCGGAGCTACTTTATGCCGCTGCCGCCACACTGGAAGGCATTACGCGGTTGGGGGCTGGTGGTCCACCGCAGGGCGAGGAGAACCGGCGGCCGGAGCACTTTCCCGCCATTTCAGCGACTTCACAATTTGAATTTCCCGCCATGGACGCCGCGGCTGTTCGGGGCGTGGCCAGCTTAGACATCGGCTCCGACATCGCCGTCGCCGGGGCTGCAGCGTCATCGCAGCCGAAGGATGCGTCATCGCTGCCGCGACAGGCGATGCCATCGGCCAGTCGCGCCGAGGCACCGCCAAAGGGAGGTGAAAGCAACCTGCGGGAGTCCACATCGACCGCTGCGCTTCACCAAAGGCTGCCCCCGCTGAAGGAATTCATCGGTGCGGAGGGTGACTGGGGCGGCTTCCGGCGACGCTTCCTCGCCCATCAGGAGATGGCGCGGTGGTCCGACGAGGAGGCCCTTTGCGCGCTGCCGGCGCTCCTCGATGGGGACGCGCTCGCCGCACTCACGTCGGCGCCAAAAGAGAAGCGGGCTACATTACCAATGGCGCTACAGCTGCTGGCCGGGGTCTATGGACCTTCAGCCGAATGCCGTCAGCAGTTCTACGATCGCAGGCGGGGTGAAAAAGAGTCGCCTCTGGCTTTCCGGACAAGTCTTCTGGCGCTGGCAAAAACAGCCTTTCCCCGCATGGACGACGACGGCGTGGACGCAATGGTCGCGGAGAAGATCCTCCTCTTGGCGGACGACCTCGACATCGTCGTCATCGCACAAGGGGATGCAGAAATGACCTCCCTCCAGGCTGCGCGACTCCTCCACGCCAACCTTCTGCAGCAGCGGCGAAAGGCAAACAGGGCATCGGCTGGGCGTGCGGTGGCTGCAGCCACCCTTCCGTCAGAAGAACTTTATGCCGTCGACCATCGACGGCAACAGACGACGGGGGCGCGGCCGGGTCGGGACGGGCCGAGGCGTTTCGACCGTCCATCGTCTCCATCGGCGCTCCCGCGGTGCTTCAACTGCGGCATCCGGGGCCATGTCGCCTCGGGGTGCCGTTCTCCTCGACAGCGGGGGACGACGCCTCGACAGGACGCCGGCCCTCCTCTTCCTCCTCCCAAGCTCCAGCACCATGATCCGGCGAGTCGCGGCACCTCACATGTTTGGCCAACGCACCCACCTGTCGCACACTCTCGCACCGTAACGAACGGGGGGCCGGTGGGGCGCTGCGATGGACCGGCACGGATCACTGCGGGGACTCAAATCGAGCCCGAGCGGTGGTCCGTGTTGGCCCATCGCGTGGTGGCCGCGGCGTCGGGATCGTCGGCCGTGGTCGGTTACATTGATGGGGTGGAGGTACGCATCATAGTCGATACAGGGGCATCGGCGACAATTATTTCGGAACTAATTTACAATATTCTACCGGTGCAGAGCCGTCCTTTGCTACCGGTTAATGTCCCTTTCTATGCCGCTAACGGGGGCTCTCTCGGCATCGTGGGACAGATTCGAGCGCAAATTTCTATCGGGGACATCAAATTGTCGGGGCCGATTTTTGTCTCCTCCTCACTGGCAGTTCCGTGCCTGCTGGGGACGGACTTCTTGGGCAGGATGCCAATTCGTATTTTGATCGACCAAGGATGCATTGAGCTTCCGTCGGGGCGACGTATGGCGTTCCTGCCTTCCCCTGTAGCGACTCGGACGGCGTTCGCGACGGTACCGGCGTTCGTCGTAAAAACAGTGCGTGTGCCGCCGGGGGCACAAATGCTGGTACCTCTTAAACTTCGTAGGCCCTTCGCTAAGGGTGTTGGGGATCAGGGTGTTGTGCTGGGGCCGTCTAGGGCCGGGGTTAATGGGCCTCATTTAATTCCGGCCCAGACCATCGTAAGGGGGGACGAGGATCCCTTCATCGCGGTCCTCAATGTCGGGTCGCAGACAGTAGTGGTTCCCCAAGGGACTGTGCTCGCTCACGCGACGCCGGTGCCCTGCGAGGAACCTGCCGTGAACCACATTGACACTGCTGCTCGGACGCACCCGCATTCGGACGGCGATGAAGGGTGGCTCGACGCGCTTTGTGCGGGATCGACGAACCTGTCCAATTTAGAGCGCCAACGGCTTAGATCGCTGCTAAAGGAATTTTCCGACGTTTTCAGTCGGAATAAATACGATTTGGGTTGTACTCACCTGCTGCGTCACCATATTGACACGGGTGACAGCGCGCCTATTCGCCAAAATCCTTTTCGGTTGAGTCCCGCCGAAAAGGACCATGTCAAATCGGCTGTCGATGACATGTTAGCCGCCGACATTATCTCTCCCTCTACCAGCCCTTGGGGAGCACCGATTGTCCTGGTTAAGAAACAGGATGGCTCGTTGCGGTTTTGCGTAGATTTCCGTCGCCTTAATAAGGTTTCGGTTGCCGACGCATACCCGCTCCCACGGATGGACGAATCGCTGGACGCCTTGGCGGGAGCGCGATTCTTCTCCACACTAGATTTACTTTCGGGATTCTGGCAGCTTCCTCTGGACGATGATTCGAAGCCTAAAACCGCTTTCCGTACACCGCACGGCCTGTTCCAATTCAACCGGTTGCCGATGGGCTTACACTCAGCGCCGGCAACCTTCCAGCGGTTGATGGAATTGGTTTTGGCTGGATTGCAATGGGAATCGTGCCTGATTTATTTGGATGACGTAATTGTTTTTGGAAGAACCTTTGACGAACATCTCCAGAGGCTGCGGGCGGTTTTCCAAAGGATGCGGGCTGCTAATTTGAAATTTAAGCCCCAAAAATGCTATTTGTTTCGCGAGTCAGTGCGTTATTTGGGGCACATCGTGGGGCGCTCGGGTATTGCTACCGATCCCGCCAAAACGCAGTGTGTCAGCTCCTGGCCAATTCCGACCTCGGTGGGGGAGGTGAGGAGTTTTATTGGCTTCGCTTCATATTACCGACGGTTCGTCGCTAATTTTGCTACAATTGCCAAACCCCTACATGCTTTGACATCAAAAGGGGTTCGGTTCCACTGGGGTCGGGATGAGGAAGTAGCTTTCTGCTCCCTTCGGGATGCATTGGTGAAGGCTCCTCCTTTGACTTACCCCGATTTTTCGAGGCCGTTTTTGCTCGACACCGACGCGAGCAACACAGGTATCGGAGGCGTGCTTTCCCAGGTGGTTGATGGCGTGGAACGGGTGGTTGCGTACGGCAGTCGGGTGTTGTCTCCAGCGGAGCAAAAATATTGTGTCACCCGTAGAGAACTGTTGGCAATTGTTTTCTTCATCCAACAGTACCGCCCATATCTGTACGGTCAGCATTTCACTGTCCGTACGGATCATGCGGCACTGCAGTACGCCCTGAAGGTTCAACAGCCATCGGGACAATTGTCCCGATGGCTGGAGGTCCTCCAGGATTTCGATTTTGACACCACCTATCGTAAGGGCATTCGCCACACAAATGCGGACGCTCTGTCGCGCATGCCAACCACCTCCGAATGCGCATGCCTCCTGGGGTCGGGGCGTTGCAAGCCAGCTGGGGACATGACGGTTCCAGTCCTGGCGGCCGCCGCCGATGTTGACACATCGCTCCCCGATGAGATCGGGAAACAGGGAAGGGATTCCCTGCTTGGGTTGCCTGTGATTGAGTGGGGACGCCTCCAGATGGAGGACGCCTCCCTCCTCGCGCTGCGTCGTCGCGCCAGGGAGAGGGGGTGTGGGACGGGTGATGCCGACAATTGGGAAATACACGCGGGCTTGCTCATGCATTGGGACGGTAAATCCCACCGTCACCGGCTGGTAGTTCCTGCGGGGTTACGGGGTAAGGTGGTGTGGGCTGCTCATGAGCGCCTCCTCCACCTGGGTACCCAAAAGACCCTCGCCTCGCTCCAGCTGGATTTTTTTTTGGCCGGGCATGACACGGGATGTCACGGATCTCCTGGCAGCATGCCCCCGGTGTGCGCAACGCAAACCACCAGCTCGGGAGTCGAACCCGCCGTTGCAGTCCATCACAGTCTCCAGGGTGAACGAACTCGTAGCGTTGGATATCCTGGGGCCGTTTCCCGCCACCCCTAGGGGCAATAGATATTTGCTAACAGGGGTCGAATACTTCACACGCTGGCCTATGGCCTGGCCCCTGGCAAATCAGTCGGCAGCAGCCATCGTGGACGCCTTTGTCCAAGGCTACGTCATGGACAAAGGTGCTCCGGAGCGGCTGCTGACCGACCAGGGTAAAAATTTTTCCGGGAACCTCCTCAAACAAGTCTGTGATCTCCTAGGTACAAAGAAGATTCGTACCTCTCCCTATCACCCACAAACTGACGGGATGGTCGAGCGTCTGCATCGTACCATCACGTCTATGTTGTCGCACCTGGTTTCGGAGTCACAGACCAATTGGGACTTGCAAATTCAAGGGGTCCTGGCAGCATATCGATTGGCCCCCCATGCTGCCACGGGATTTTCACCCTTCTTTCTCATGTATGGTCGCGAACATGACCCACCTGTTCGGGCACAGCTGCAGATCCCCGCGCCTCTAGGTAAAATTAAATTGGACGAGCACGTTAAATTTAACCTTCAAAAGCTAACTGAGGCGCGGGATGCTGCCATGCTCAATTCCCGCATGCGCCAAAAGGCGAATGAGCGCCTCAGACTCGCGCGCGCGCACGTGCTGCAGTGGAAGCCAGGGGACAGGGCATGGCTGCACTGTCCCCAGGTACCGCTTGCGACCTCCTCGAAACTGGTACGGCCATGGCGGGGCCCCGTCGAGGTGGTCGAGGTTTTGCGACCGCAGTGCGTTCGTATCAAGTGGGGGAGGCGCCGGTGGTTCGTTCACCCCTCTAGACTAAAACCCTTCGTTGCGGTGCGGGACTCTGCTCCACACGCGCAGGGCCAAGCATGTGAGGGGTCGACCGACCCGGAGGGTCCGCCTCTGTTGATCTCACCTGACGTCTTGCCGGTTGCCCCGCCCCCAGGTTCTCCCGGAATGACGGGCTCGCGCACATCCCTCACGGGGGATGCCGAGGGTCCCGCCACTCCAATTGCGGACTCGCCTCGGATGGGACAGCGGCCACCGAATGGTCCGCCATCTGAGGTTGGCCCTTGTGACGGGCCTGCGGCAAGGACGCGCGCTAAAATGCGCAGACTCTTATAAAAACACTGAAACGCGAACAAGAAGTGAAAACGAAACGAAAATAAGAAAAAAAATTTTTTTTATTTTTTTTTGCGTTTTCTGGTACACTTTCGTGTGCTATTGTTGCTGGACGCTGCGTTCGTGTGGCGCTCTTGGCGCGTTGTTGTATTATGGCTGTGTGTGTGTGTGCGTCTTGTGTGCGTGTTGTGCGTGCGCTGAGGGTTCCGGGAAATGTACATATCTTGCCTCTACGGATTTCGTATTTATTCGGGGGGGGGGGGCGCGTCGGTTTGTTCTCCCTTTAGGGGCATTGTTAGTGTTGTTGTTAATTCTCGTTCTGTTAAATGGAAAATATGGGGCACACACGGGGGGAGTCAAGGGGTAAAGATTCATTTGTTGAAATTGTTGCAGCCGGGACGGCTGCGAGCTATGCGGGGGGGAGTGATGTAGGGATGTTGGAGAGAGGGCCGTTATGCATGGCAGCCTATGGGAAAGAAACACAGTGGGCGGGGCTACGTGTGTGCACAGGGAGATGCCCTCTGCGACGTCCGAGCCAGACACCCTGGGGGGGGGCTGGTTCGGCGTTACGATCCCCCGGGGCCCCACCCCTCAAGGAGGGTTGGGTATAAAAAGGGGTCGTTATATGGGCTTAGTCAGTTATGTTATAGTTAAGCTAAGAAGTCGGAAGACGTCGTAGCTAGAGCCCTGGACTCCCCCTGATCGCCGCCCTTATCAGGGCCCCACGGGATCAGGCTCGAGCCAGTGGCGTGGTCCCGTGAACCAGAGCCAGTGCTCTGGGACTCCGGGTACCGAGCCCGATTACCAGTGTCGGGCCAGACAGCCTCCCCTAGCTCTTAGTGGAGGACTCAGGGGATAGGCTATGGATAGCTAGGGGTATTCCCTGAGTTATACGGGTGAGGGGGCCGCTACCCCCTCTAGGGCTGTCCTGTACTGGCAACTTGTTAAATAAATATACGTGTGCCTCAACTCCGTTGTCAAGCGTCCTCGACGGGTACTTCATTAGCAACGACCTTGGAAGTGCAGATTTCGAAAACTGTGAGCGTCCGCGCTGCTGCACGAGTAGCTGCCCTGCTGAAGGCCCCTGCGCAGCACCGAGCCATACAGCAGCACGCTGTCGTAGTAGCCCACCACGAAGTGGTTGCTCTGCAGCACAGAGACGGAGCACAAAGAGTACAGCGAGCACAGAGACCAGGTTCACACCACACACAGAGGCTCAGATTACAGAAATAAAGAGTTGTGACCAGCAGTGTGGTGGTTGCGTTGTTGTTGTGACCTGCAATGCGTAAAGCCCTGTGATAGCCCTGCGTTGTAAGTGTGGCATTAATATCAAGCATAGTCAATCAAACTTTGTCCACGTGTCACAGCACGAAAAGGGCAGTAAAGTGGTGGCACAAAAGGTCAATAGACAGTCCACACGAGGAGCAGGAAAGGGAAGCTATGCTGGAAGTCCTCAAGACGGACAAACAGTGCACAGCTCAAGATTAGCAGCAAGGACTAAAAAGGAGCACCGGGCAGGAGATGGAGGAGAATGAATGGCAGGGCCAAGATGTCGGGGATGAGAGGGTGGTGATGATCAGAGGGGGCGAAGAGAGAAGGAGCGGGCAGCAGTGAGCTGCACGAAGGAGCCGTGTCTGTTTTCACAAGGGGTGGTGAGGAGAGGGAAGGGATTCAGAATGGGGGGGATGGTCACACAGAAGTCACGTGATTTACGGGAGCTTGAGCTGATTTAGATATGTATGTTTGTTGAACTTCTTCCACACCGTACGTAGCCAACCCCACGTAGCCAGCTGTGCTAATCGGAGATGGAGCATTATAATTGGTTACGGGGCGAGAGCCGAGGAGTGCGCAGAGTACGGTGCGACTGCCGCGCGCTGCCGCTCGCATCTCACGGTGAGGTTGAATTTCTCGCCGAAGGCTGTGGCCTGCCTCTCGGGCAGCGTCACGATGAGCGCTCGCTCCAGCGCCGAGCTGTGGTTCTCGTACGTCTTATAGTAGTCCAGGCTGGATGGGGGGCAGAGAGGGGCAGAGGGACGATGCGGGGGAGAGGGGATGGGGAAGGGAGGCACCTTGGTTCAAGAGTCGACCAAATGCATTCTAGAGCTCCCTCTAGTGGAGGCCCTTCTGCCAGCAGTGGATTGAGCGAGCACTTGCAGGCTTGCACCTTTACCTTTTAACTGAGATTCGGGAGCAAATGAACCACGCCAGTTTGTACATCAGCACGAGCCGATCAGCGCATTCCCTACGGTTCACAGGAATCGGTCACCAGCTCCCGGCACAGTAAATGGTTTGCAGCGGCTAGTGGGTTGACGTTTTAGCAGCCCGAATTAAAACCCAGCCCCCCGAGCCAGGAGCCGACGGATCCGGCAGTGCAGAGCTTTCCCCGTATGGGGGGGCGCCTCGTGGTGACCCCCCCCCCACCCCCCAGGGAACGCTCACCCAAACAGGTCGATCACCACGAACACCAGTTGCTCGCGCGTGTCCGCAGACAAGTGCCCGAGTCCCTTGATGACCTCCTCCGCCCGGGTCAGGCTGGCGCACATGATGATCACTGTTGGGCGGAGATCGCGGGGTCACGAAACGCGGAGAGTTCGGCGTGGTGGCACGTGCCGTGCTACGGAGTGGGCGCACGCCCGGCACCCCCGCCCCGCGGTACCGTTGCTGTGCCGCGTCCCGCTGAGCGTCGTGTTGAAGCGCGCGAACGTGTCGAGCGCCAGGACGTGATCCTTGCCGAGCAGCCCGCGCAGCGACATGAAATTCTGACCCAGGGGCCCCTGCACGTTCTCGAGCAGGGCCTGCAGGTACCTTCACCCGCAGACACGTACACAGAGTCGCGGCGGCACGGGCAATCACATCTGTAACGCAGGTTCCCTCTGAAACAAAGAGGACCCAGCTTCAGTGAAAGTTTATCATATTTACTGTTTACATCACGTAACTCACAATGCTGATCCCGCCAGGCGGCCGAGCGGTGGAACAAGTGGATCATAGTCGCAAGGTGGCAAATTAAAATCCCGTTCGAGGATCAACTCAGCCAATCATCACCTCTCCTTCCGGGGTCGACACAATGAGTAAACGAGCACCACTTTGCGGGGAAGATCAATGGCGGTTGTCCTCTGGATAGACTCGCCCCAACCATAGAGCAGTGGGATTCCTACCACCGACTCTGAAGGGCCGTACACAGGACATGAGCACCGATGCCTGGACGCTCAACCGGGCAGCAAGCTGCCTTGGCGGCGTGAGGCGAGCGCGGTGCCCACCAGAAGCAGACGTTGGCGTCGTTGTTGCCCTCGGTGAAGACAATGGCCGTGCGCCAGGCGAACTGCTTGCGCGCGTCCGCGTGCGCCCACAGGCGCGTGAGCATCGTCGAAATCTTGGTGGCAGGCACGAGCGTGCGGCTCAGGATGGCGCTGTAGGTAGTGGATAGCCCGAAGCTGCCTGCCGCGATCACGGGCCGATTGAACACGCTCTGGGACCTGGCGCAGACAGCCGCACGTGTCCGGGTCACGGTCACACTTTAAATACATAAAATACGTGAGCTTGACTTAAAGCTTTCGTGACTGCACGAATTCATATTCTTTGGGTCTTTCGGTAAAGTCACGTAGATAGGTTCAAAGAAAATAACAATAAACTACGACGTTTCAATCGCTTGTGTTGTGATCGAAACGTCGTAGTTTTTTGTTATTTTCTTTGAACCTATCTACGTGACTTTACCGAAAGACCCAAAGAATATATGTAAGCTTATTTACCCAGGAGAACCTCACTAAGTCTGTTGGGTGGCCAACATCACGTCGGGCTGCCTTTGTCTCCCCAGTGCTGATGTTTTACACTCTATACCAGGTTTTCGTTTAAAGCGGAGTCGCCCTTAGAGAGGCCCAGGAATTATTCAAATATTAGGCCTCGCAGTTGCCTCTGCGGCGCCAGCCTGCAGGCCGCGTGCGTGGCCGCCGCCGAGACGGAGACCGCTCGCCACGCGCGGCACGGCCAGCGTCTCGACGGCTCCTACAAAGGAAACACAAATCCATTTCACGGCCGTCACGACGACAGATGTTCCCAAGCGAGAGCGCAGCCTCGGCTTCATTTCTGCTGCGGTGGGCCCTGCACCTACTTTAGTTAAACGCAGCTCGCTCACCTTGGCGGTGAATATCACAGTTATGGTGGCCCCCCAACCATAAAGGAGCTGGGCCTCGTTCACACAGAGCCCGTGGGCTCGACACACCGTCCAGCACAGTGACAGCTGCAACCCAGCCACAATCAGCACTACCACTCCCTTTCTCTCCACTAACGCACGCACCTGAGAAGGGAGTAGGAGGAGTACTGGCAGGACGGGCCCACGATCACGCATCCCAGCTGATCGTTGGCCTGCGGTGAGGAGCACACAGACAGCGCTGCTGAGTGAGTGTCAAGGGGTTCTGCACCGTTTACGAATGTCACCCCGCCGCACACACGAGTTATTGTGCGACCTCAGCCCAGCAGAGCCAAATCTGATCGCCTCTACCTGGACTATTTTCCCAAATCCGGTCGTTGGTCGAGGAACGGCTCTAAGATACACAGTGTATACATCATGATAAACAGCATAACAGACTGCCAGGCTGTCAAATTATGGGGCGATGGTTAGTGTGTGATCCTAATTGAGTAATAAGCAGGTGATTTTTCAAAATTGGGATGTTTGGCCAATACCACTTGTACGTATGTATGTTCTTATCTTAATGAGATTAATATAGCACCTTCACCCAGGTGTTTTACAGCAATTATAAATTTATACATAGCATGACAATTTGAAATAAAGAATTGTTATTGTACGTGGAGTAGTTTTGATGGGGGGCGACAGAAAAGCTGGGGGCTGAAAGGTAATCAGCCAACATTGCATTGGGAAGACAAAGGGGGGCAGCGAGGGGCTGGAGCCAGAAGGGGGCCGCCGCGTTCAAGTCCCCCACTCCGCCGATGACGTCCGCAACGTCCGTGCAGTAGTACAGCCGCAGAGCCCCGGCCTGACCTTGATAGCACTCAACCAGAAAGCCTCCAGTTCATTCGCTGGCAAATGCGCAAGGCCCTGCGATTCACGCGTGAGGTCAGATCCTCGTAAACATCCAGAGGGCACGGTGCGTGCAGGTGATCGCTGGAGCAGCAACACAGACGCAGGGTCCCGTGATCCCGTGAACTGCCTTGGGCAAAATCACAATGTTTAAATGTGTATCGATCCAGCTCAAGCCTCCCATATATAATGCGGCTTCTCTGTGGGAGGCCACTCCCACTGATTCCCTACACTCTCACCGCCGCCCCCCGGTGAGAACGGACGCTGCTCCTCCTTGCGACTCACTTCTGTTCGCTCCTTCCTCCTCTCATCACCCTCTCATCCCGACATCTCGTCCCAGTCACTCTTTCTCGTCCTCGACTTCCTGCCTGGCACTCCTCCTTCTCTTTTTCTGATGCTCATCTTGAGACATGCCCTCTCTGTCCATCTTGGGGACTTTTATCCCGGTCTCCCTTCTCTTTCCCGTTCCTGGCTCTTTTTCCATCCATTACATCCTCGTCTCTATTCGGGTACAACGTGTTAATATTGGTCATGCAGGGCCCTCTTTAAAGAGCTGGAGATGTAGGGGCATCCATCAGAGATGTCTCGCACCATCGCTGCTTCCTGCCTTGCAGTGATTGAGGCGGCCTCGTCAGACGCGCGTGCATGGGGACCGTGACTCTCTGCCACGTGATGCCGCGGCGCTGTGTGCGTGTCGGGCCTCGAGGCGTCCTCCTCACCTTGAGCGCCTTGACCAGCTCCCTGGCCTCGCAGTCCGTGTCCTCGCAGCTCGAGGCTTTGCTCTCCAGCCACTCGGAGCTGTAGCAGTCAAACGTTGCGTTGAGCCTGACGCCCGTGCCTGGCGTGAGACGACAGCGCGCGTGAGAACTCTTTCTGCTGCGTGTGTCGATGCACATTGAGCTTCTTTCGCACCGTATGCAGCCAACCGTGCTAATTGGAGGTGCCACAGCTGGGACACTTCGGTCATAAACCGCCTCGTGTGCAGGTTAGCGTCGCTGCACACTTTCAAAACCAACGCACTTTGTATCTCACCACGAGTGGGAAGCAGCGTCGTGAGATGACGATCGGTGTTCAGTGCGATCAGTGAGAAACTGAGCGCAGGGGTGGTGCCCACCTCCATTTCAATCCCTGCGCTCTCAGTGGCAATTCCTCGTTTCTGTTGACTGCCCCATAAATGTTGCTAATTTTATAACAATGCCTTTTATGCAGGAAATACTCACAGAGAATCAACACAATATTTTATCGAGAAGGGTTTATATCGGGAGATGCCAGGAATGCGTGTTTGGTGTATGGGAGGAAACATGCAAACGAATAGGGGCACCACTCGAAAGTCCACACATGCAGATGTAATAATCCATTACGTTTCTGCCACCTGGTCTCTTTATGAAATCATATCTGCTTAATTGTTTTTCTGTGACGTGGATCAGATACGTGGCTTCGTTTCCTTGTAGCCAGTGTTGTCTGCGCCGCTTTGTTGACCAGTTGGCTTTCATTCCCTGTGAATGCCCCAAACTCCTGGGATTCCATCGCTTCAAACATGTCTTTGCTTACTCTCCCGTCTGCATCACAGTTTGATGCGAGATGAAATATTTTGGACGAACACGTCACTTGCTGGACGCATGGTCTGGTGTGTTTATGCACGAAGTGCAGTGACCACCCGGAGTTGATGTTCCTATCGCTTCATTAAACCGTGAATGGGTTTCAAGTGCCGATTCTCGTTACTGGAAATTAAATGTTGTTTATTCTGGAATGCAGTTATTTTTGCTCTGATTTATATTTGGTTTGTTGTTATGCTTTATTTAATATGTGTTGTGCTTCTATTATTTTAAGACTCATCCCATTCTCTTGAGTTATCGCCTGAGTTAACAAATAAACTTGAATGCTGACGCGTTTGCCGTCACCGAGTTGTTTCCCTCTCGTGGTGAGACATCGGATTTGAAAGCGTGCAGTGGGCCAGGTCTTGGGGCAGGTAGCGACGCGAACCCGCACGCGAGTTGGTTTATGGCCGAAGTGCCCCTGCTGTTGCCAGTAGCGCGCCTATTACGAGCTGTTGACACGAGCCGTCGTGCGGGGCTACTGCGCGGGGGGTAATGTCGCGCAGTTTATTTGTATCCTGGCGCACGACGTGAACAGCTGCGTGAAACCCCAAGGTGAACATCGATTCGTGCAGTTTCTATTTGAATACGAATGGTGCCACGCAGGCTAAATAAAAACACGACAAACACGACGAGACGATAAATTGCGACGATTAGTCAAAGCACCCGAGGTAGGGGAATGACTCGTTTGACCCATTACGGTTCCTGACCCACACGTGGTTGATCGGTACCAATGCTCACAACGTGTCCCTCGCAGCGTGTTATCTCTCGATCATGAATATGTGAGAGCACGGCGACCGTGGGAGCCGTGCAAAAGTAGAGTAGCTCGAGTAAGACAGGGGCGCAGTGGTGTTTGCGATAGAGACGTCGTGATGTCGAGGACGCACGGAATATGAGCACAAGCAGGAAGCGAGTCGAGAAAGCGGCGAGGGTATTCTCTCTCAGCCTGACTGCGGTGGGCACGGCCCGTGGTGGGCACTGCAGCAATTGCCACCCCATACGGTGCCGACTCAGTGAGCAAGCGCGAGGTCACGCGGGCGCGTGGAGGCGAAGCGAACCCCCGAACCCTCCCAGCCCCAGAGACAACATGGGGACGTGACCCCCCACATCGCGCTGCTCTCCCGCTGCTGGGTGGGGCAGACGTCGCCGCCTCGCGCCGCGTCGCGCGCGTGCCAGGCGGGGCGGGCAGCAGCTGCGGCAGGGAGCGTTGCCGCAGGGGGGGGGGGGGGTCAGAGTGAGTGGCAGGACACTCGGACCCGTGTGACGCGGCGCTACGGTCGCATCTCCACGAAGCCGAATCGCGCGCGAGTTAGACTCCAGTCCGGGGACTGGAGTCTAACTCGGGGTCCCTTCTCCGGCGCACGCCCCTCTACACACACTGGGGTGTGTGGGGTGTGTGCAGGTGTGCGTGCTGCCCCCAGGTGTGCCTCGCCGTGATCTCACCTGCTAACAGTCTCGTGTTCACGTCATCCATGGCGAGCTCGATGGCGGGACGAACGGTGTTCATCGACCACGCGGTGTTGTTATCCACGATGAGAATGACGTTCATCGTATAGACGGCGGGCGTCCTTCCGTCTACCCCGGCGTGCATCCACCCCAGCGTCACCCACCCCAGCGTCGCCCACCCCAGCGTGGCCAGTGCCGCGGCGCCCATGGCTGCGCGCTCCGTTCCCGCGGCGCGTCCCTCGCGTGTGTGGCCCGAGGGGGGCGGCACGGAATGGGCCGCCGGATGGGGCCGTGTTGTCACGGTCCCAGTTAATGAGTAACCCAGCAAAGAACGACTGCAGATGGCGCGGAGGTGCTCGCCTTGGGAGATGAGATAACCGCGCCGAGGGCAAAGTGCTGCCGCAGGAGGGTTCCGCACGACACCCCCCCTCCCTCTAGGGGGGGGGGGGGGGGGGCGCGCCGGCCTGTAAAGTGGCGGTCACGTGGGGGGAGACTCCGCCACTCCGCCACCCACGAGGCCACGTGGGTTTATTTTATTCCATTGAATGTTTGTGCTTTAAATTTGTTTTGTAACATGGTTGTTTTGCGACGATTTATATTTGCTGCATTGTTGTACTCTGTATATTGCTGCGACTTCACGCCGGACACGCGGATGGAGTTCCCATCTGTTGCGTGCGCTCCTCTCCCAGCCCCACGACCTCGTGGAACGGGGCGAGCAGTCACTCCGCCTGTCACGAGCCGCTCATCAACGTCGTCGTGGAGAATGTAAACGACACAGAAACCAAGCAGTTGATCCGCCTCCTCCACACAGCTGTCCCAACGCAATATTGTCCAAACATCCGTTAAGCCACAAGACCTTCTGGGAGTGCACAATATCAGGAGTATTGGTTCAACACAAGAACATTCTGTACCGGTTTCGACGTTCCGTGTCTCGTCAGCAGAATCCGGGTTGCTTGAACCAATAATAGTGAACCAATAAACAAGCGATCTAGTGATGCTGGCAGTGGTGCACATACATCAAACTCAACACGGTCGTCAATAACACTGCCTTTTTCATGGATAATATAATCAGAACACGTTGACTCTGAGCATGTGTGACAACTTGGCACAGAAATCAGCAAAGGGGCATGGTTCTGCAACTGGCGGCTTGTGAGCCAGGTGCTCTCGGAGTGACCCACAGAGCTCAGGGCAAACAGGCGATGTGGCTCGAAAGGGCCATTGCCCAAAACGTCGCCTATTATATCGTTTTCCTTTCAAGACCCCAGTGTTATTGACGATGTGGTGAAAGTAACCACGAGGGGCGGTGTGGAAAGTAACAATACAAACGTAGTGAGCCAATTCCGAGACACGTCGTGTAGAAGTCTTCCTTTCTATTCTCACACTTTGAGCACAACCCTGGGCGATACATCGATGTAACGTCTCTACGTAGCAACACAGAGCCGACCCTTCTACGCAACCCCAGCGTCGGCGTCCACCTACACAGCTGTGTGACGATGAGAACCTTGCAGAAGACCGGCCACGTGGCCGGACGACGCAGAGGGATGACGGCGAGCAGCGACGCAGCCAGGACCTGCAACAGCAGAGAACCTCGAGTTCGGTCCCCCTTATATACACCCCGGCGCGGCCAAGCCCCGCCTCCAGCCCCGCCTCCGAACCTTCGAGCAGGTTCCCGGAGCCTCCCGACTGACTCCGCCTCTCACCTTTACCCCAGCAGACACGCCCCCCTCATGATTAGACATTATTACGTAACTTGCCCATAACCGCGATTACCCCTTCAGGCCGACAGGTGGCACCCTGCCATTACACAAATAAGCACACAACTCGCCTCCTCGACGTGTCTGTCGCTACTCGTAAAAATGCAGGGATTTTCCACACGTCCCATCAGCCATGCGGCCTTCTGAGAGTGCAGCAATGTGGATCGTTTTATCCCGTGTGCTCATCGCCCCAACGTCCCCTACATCTTCGTTGGCATTGTCATCACCACCATCATCCCCACCAACAACAGCCGCCATCGCGACTAAGTAGCGGTGACGTCTCCACGGCACTTGCTCCAGGCTAGGTGCACTTTGAGGCCCCGTGAAGTGTCGAAGGATCGCTAGCAGGAGATCATGGGACTGACCCAGGTGCCACGTGTTGACTGGCAGATGCGCCACCTGTGCTGCCTACTGTGCCGCCACCATCGTCATCATCTCCACCATCACCACTAGCATCGTCTGCAGGGTCGCGTGTCAAATGAGGATTCGGGGTCCATTCAGTCACTTACATCAGCCGTAACGTCGAGCTGCGGCACGACAGGGATAAGGCTCCCGCGGATTTCTCTAAGACGACGACGACGCGCACCGTAAATCGATGGTGCGGAGGGCTGCGAGGCCCGCTGTCACTGCTCCGTGCGGGACTAGCCGCCCACAGCCTTCACCACAAACCCTCAGCACCGATGTACTCGGCTCAGCTCTCGTCCGAGTGCGCGCGGTTCGAGTCGACACTTACTCCACGCACTCTCCACGCACTCTCCTCGTCTCTGTATCTTTGTGCGCCACTGCGCCGCACTGGGCCATGGTGCTAAATAGACACTGGGCCGATAGGGATCTGACGCTGCAGCTCAAGCTGGTACAGGATTCATATTATTTGGTTCTTTCGGTAAAGTATAAAAATTATAAAAGTAAATAAAATAAAAACTACGACGTTTCGATCACAACACAAGCGATCGTCTTTTTCCTCCTGCAGACACTCGCTTGTGTTGTGATGGAAACGTAGTTTTTATTTTATTTTCTTTATCTACGTGACTTTACCGAAAGAACCAAAGAATATGAATTCCTGCAGTCTGAAAGTTTAAAGTCAAAATTTGGTACAGGATTATAAGGAGGCCAAGCGATCACGGCACGGGACAGATCCTGCTTTTTCCACTGGCCGAGGACCCGTGCGCCGCGTGTGCGCATGGTCGAATAGCGCCACCAGCTTGCTAAGGAAGTGCACGCACATTGAACCACTGCGCGACTTGGGGTCATGGATGTGCTTGTGTTTGGCCTTGTGGCGGATGTAGAGTCTGAAGGAAAACGTAAAGGTGCGGCCCTGCAAGTGATCCCTCACGCCACTGCTGGCGGAAGGAGCTCCTATTGAGCGAACTCTGGAGTGCATTTAATGTACCCTCCCACACTGTGAGCAGACGTGTTTGAAGCGGTGTGCGTACCCATAATTTACCCCACCACACTCGACTTTGCCGATCATAAACTAATAGTGCTGAACCTAATTACTGCTGTTTGGACAGAAGTGGTGGGTAGGATTTTAGAAAACTGCCTCGTTGTTTCAACTGCCGTGCCAGGAGATGGAATCGGATCGGCGACTTCTGGATTGCAAGTCCAGTACGGCATTTCCTTGGAGCTGCAGTAATGCGCTGTGAGGCTGTGAGCTGTACAATCTGTGACTGTGTCGATTGCATGGACGTGTCCGAGTCTGCAAGAATCACGAGGACAATCGGGTACATTCAATGAGAGCCTCACGATCGATTTTAATCGAAGAGTCGTCCCATTCCTGTAAGCTACAGGGTGACTTGCTGTGTCAGAGTTCGGCCGCGTCCACCGGCCCGAAAGAATGTGTGTCCAGTGCCAGGGTTTGAACCCAGCCTCCCTCCCTCCTTCCCTGGGCTTTGCAACAGCCACGCGCCCAGAGCTCGGCTCGCCACCGTCTCTACAGCGCAAACCCGGCCTGATGTCTCCGTTGGCCGAGGTGTATCGACACTGCCGTGCAATCTCCTGCGACAGAGTTCAACACGGTCACCAGAACCAGATCTCGGTAAAATCTATCCGTGCCATCCGACCACAACAGACGCTGATTTTAGGACTGGTGGCGACCTTAGAAACAATGGTGGCCCAAACAACGTGATTCTACACTTCCATTCCCGTGCAATGCACTACCAAGCACGAGCCAGGCTCATGAGGTGGCTGCGTGGTTTCCAGGAGAAGATGGACATCAGAGAGCCAGGACAAGAGTGAGGCAAGTTATATGTTTTATACAAAATACCATTCCACCCTCCCTCCTTACACGCGCAACGCACGCCACCTGTTAACACGCGCATCCTGATTGTTCGCTGTGATTGATATAGTTTTGCAATTCTATATCGAACAGACAGGGTCCTTGCCTCTAAGCATCTGGCAGTTCACCAGCATTGGTTCAAGCAAAGCCGGACTCTGCTGATGAGACACTGCATGTCGAAACCGGTCCAGAGTTCTTGCTTGTTGTAAACCAGTGCTGCTGAAATGATGCACTCCCAGAAGACCGTGTATGGTTGATGTGTACAAAATATAATTGTATTTATGTGCAGAGACACAGATATGTGGAGGTGAATCCCCGCATATGTACGGCTGGAGCGAGAGTCACGCGTAGTGCGTTCTGCTGAACACAGCCCGCGTCCCTCGCCGTGTCGTGGAGCGGCTGCCACTCGCCATGAGAAGTGGCCACGTCACAGCAATCGGACGCGGCACGTGGCGACTGGGAAGTGGGACACGAGGCGAAGGCACATGGGCACAGGCACCATCACTACCGGGGGGGGGGGGCATGATGATTACGGGGTTGGGGAGAGGGCATGCCGATTACGGGGGACGAGGTGGGGAGGGGGCAAGATGAGTACACGTTGTAAAAGCTACAGGGCTGCGGGTGTTACAATTCAACATCTATGCTACCTTACCAAAACCCGACGAGCAAATAACATTCCAGACAATTTTCCGTCTATTATAAAATCCCCCCGTGATTTTTAAATCTGATTTCCAGGGTGAGAGTGGCGTTCCTATGTGTGGGCCCCGAGAGCCGTGTGGGCTGTGTGGGCCCCGTGGATCGGGATGAGGAGCTGCCGTGCGGAGGGGGGCGCCGTGCCCTGCGCCCATGCTGGGCGAGGGGGTGGGGGCCATCACTTCTTGCGCAGGATGCAGTAGAGGACGCCGCTGATGAGCGTGAGCGGGAACGCGATCCAGGCGAGAATGAAGCAGTAGCCGTACCCGCCGCTGGTGGTGTAGTTGAACTGCGCCGCGTACATCGAGGCGGCCACCATCACGCACAAACCTGCGAGCGGCGCGGAGAGCGGGGAGTGGTTAGCGAGGGGAACTGCACGCTCGTTAACGATACGGTGCAATACAGTGCAGTGACGTGTCGTGCAGGGAGCGCTTGAGGGCTATGTGTGGTGTGGTTACGTGCAGTGCGGTTACGCACAGGCGAGCAGCTGGAAAGCCCCCGTGAA